ACGATAAATTATCATGACATTGATTACTATTGTCCGCGAATGAAACGCACGTCACGGCTATCACAACCAAGTAAGTTCCCGAAAACCGTTTCGTATCGTCTCGCGAAACTCTCCTCTCTCTCCGATCTTCCTCTCTGACGTCTCTCAGAGAGAAATCTCTCTCTCTCTCTTTCTCCCTTTCTCTGTTTCCCTTTCTCTCGACAACTCTCTCATACCCTTCTGTCTCTCTCGCCATCGAGTCGTATCTACGGGTCGTTGATATCGCTCGCCTCGTGTTTTCTCAGATAACGTGCATGCAGCGGCCGTCTGCGAAACGCGGCACGCACTGCGCACCCGTGATAATAATTATTGACAGATGCGACCGACTAATGCGGCTTTCGTCTCGCTAACACGCCAGTCGCGACGGCTTGTTTTACTGATGAAGACGCTACGCGCTTGGCGCGAAGCTAGTGATAAATCGGCACGAGAGGTATATAGACCGTTGAAAATTAATACCATAATTTCGCAACAATCGAAAGCTATATAACAATTCCTAGTGATAATTCACAATATTAGATTGCAGAATCGAATCTAACGAGATCCTGATAGTTTCGAGTGATTCTACAAAATATTCGTGTGGAAATTACTTGGATTATTTCTTTCAAATTAAGAAGCAGACTGCTGACCAAAATATTCATTACACATCTTATTAATTTTTTTTTTTTATTCATGTGCACTTATGTGGAGATTCAACATTAGTTGAATACTCTGATTTTATATATTAAAATGAATCAATAGTTTAATGTACAAAACAGTATAGCTCTCTATGGGTATACTAAATGTATTGTATCTAGATACTTTACACATCCGCCGTTATGAATCCCGTATCGTGAATAATTGAAGAGATTGAAGCAATACGTGCTAAGTCCCACGGGGGAAAATCTAGTGAGCTCATAGCTTATCTCTGTCTACAGTTTGGTAATAATCTCATCCACAATATTCACGTATTCAATTTCGATAATAAAACAATAAAATATTATTGAGTAATAATTAATCATTATTAAATAATAATTAATAATAATCATTAAGATTGTATTCGCGTAATTTTTATTCGATCCTTAATTTGTTAATTAAAAGAGATAATATACTGGACTTTGTGAATTTTAAATGAAATTTAATGTTCTGTCTGTAACAGTTTTTGAATTTACTTTTCACTCTCGACTATTATGAGAAGAAACATCTTGCGCGAGTTAATTATAATATTAGATAATTCTTCCCTAAAAAAGAAAAATAAAAGAGAGTCTTCTTAATATTCTCATCTCATGTTATAAATAATTCTATTAAAATATAGTTACATTTCCGAAGTTAATTATTAAGGAGGATAGAGCAGCACATCGTTTTTTGAATACATGCTAGACACAACGCGCGACAGATAAGATGTATAACTCTTTTCGCTCCCTCGAGAGAAATGCATTTTCGTTACGGATTCCCAACAGGACTGCAGCAAACAAACAATCTTTTCACGCCATGTTAGGGGATATGAATGTTTGATTTGTTTGACCCGTGTCTAAGCTGCAATGTAAAATAGATGACTAAAAATTTCGTTGATCGATAAAAAAACTGTTCGTACAAAAAAACTGTTAGCAGAAAATAAATAGGGCATATAACAACTAGTTTGACAAGAGATTAATTATACTTTCTAATAGAGCAGTTAAATTTATGAAACACAAATGTTTCGAATTAGCATACATAGTACATATGAAACGTTTACGTAATTTCTCCTTAATGTAGTTAAAACCTTAATGTAGTATAAGAGAATTAGTAAAATACAATAGTAGAACAATTATAATGATATAATAATAGTATAAATTATAGTAATAGTAACATTACATGTAAAACTGATTGAAACCTTCGTCCTAATTTATAACAAAATGCAGCTGATTTATAATGCGACGAAAATCAAGCATCGAGTTGACATTAAATATTAAAAAGTGATTCCACCCAACTTTAATATTCATAACGAAAACATTTATAATCCAATTTTCATCACTCATATTCAGACGCAAGCGTGAAAGTGGGAAATCATTTTCCGCCGTGACTCATTACACGAGAAATTGCTCGTCGCGAATATTGTCGCGAAAAGAAGGACTTGTTTTTCTTTCGAGAAATCTAAGATTCTAGCAACACAGTAAAAAAAATAGCAGAGAAAAATATAAGTAAAATGTTCGGTGACACGTTTTTTCTCAATAAATGAAGAACAAGCTTTAATACTGTTTTTCATTCTTATGAGAACAAGTCGCGGGCTTGCGAGCGGCAAGATAATGCCCATCTTCTCTCGTTTGTTTTTTCGTGATAAAAAGTGAAAGCCCGAAGAATCAAGTGACTCACGGAAACGAGCAAACTGTGGCTTTCTATCCGAAACTGATGAAATTGACGCTTCAGACTTGCAACGAAATATGTACAAAATAATTTTGAAAAATTTTTAAATGTCATATATTTTCTATGAAGTAAAAGGAAAAGAGTTGAGGAACTTTTTTTTAACAAATCGCACATGCTCGTCGAAAACAATTAGTATAAAAGCAATATAATAATCGTTAGGAATTAAATTGATACAATATATATGGCTGAATAATTTTGAAATAAAAAACGGCGAGAGAGAGAGAAAAAGAGAGAGAGGGGAATTCTTTCGGTAGTATATTATATTATAAGGATCCATTGCCAAGTTTTATGATAACAAAAGTCAATAAATAAATAGTGGACGATACCTATGCAGGGAAAATATTATGAGGACCTATACATACTCATTAATTGCAATCGCCATAATGCACCCCTCTCGGAAGTAAATTAAAGTTCAATGTGCGTTACGCGTGCATTCATTCATGGAAAACCTTCTGCTGCAATTTGCATTATAACATCTAATTTATAATATGCCACGTTATTACATCAAGTCCACTGTTGAGTAACGATTATTCACTACATGGAACATTCCACAAGATCAAAATCGACCATGGTATATTCTCTTTTCAAATTTTAAATTCGTTCCATAAAAAGCTCAATCAGCAGTTTAATTATGACATTATATTTAAGTGAAAATCGAGAAGCCGTCAAATGACGTCTCAAGAACGTAAATAAGGAACGGAAATTTATTTAGCGATGAACTTAAAATTTCAATTTTTACTCAAATAGAAATTTTAGATTGCATAACAACTTGAAATTTACTTCATAAATTTAATTTCACGAGAAATAATTCGAGTTTTAATTACACTACAATGGAAAAGTTTATAAAATCTCACTAAATAAACACGTGTAACTTACTCTTTTAAAAAGATTTATTCTTACTCTAAGAATATATACACTTAATCTAAGATCACTCTTTTAAAGAGATCCATTGAAAATATTTTTACAACAACAATTAAATATAAGAAAAAGTGTAAACAAAGAGAGATATTCAAACAACGTTTTATGCATAGAAATATTTGCGATATGTGGATTTGGAATCTCATGGTTATTTATCTATCAATGGATATAATGCTTTGCAATACACGATGCACTGCATGCCCCGTGTTCATTTTGCTCGCTTGCTAATGCGCGCCTCCATTCACTATGCATGTTCATTTCACAAAGCGAGTCAACCGTTTCGCGGAAACGCCAGCTTCGGCAAAACGCCAGCGATAAATTCTATCTAACGTTCCCGCGTAATTAAATTCATTCGCAATATATTTAAATTCACCCACTATAAAGAAATGACCGCGCGCGCTATCTGCTAAGTATCATTATACAAGAAGCATGCGCTTCTTTGATCGCATGTTCACCTTGTACGAGCGAAGGAACGGACGATCTCAATGTAAAAAGAAATCAAATGCCAGTGTGTTTTGTGTTCTTAGAATTGCAGATATATAGGTAATACCTTGTTAATATTTATACGAAAAGAACCGGGTTCGCAACGCAACAACGCACAGATTGCACATACGGTAAATAATATGCTCGTGGATTGAAATTAAAATTGAATTTAATTAAATTTGGATAATATTAAGTTTCTTCTAAAAGACTGATTTTTTTCGACGGTAGAACGTACACGACGAGAATTTTATTTTAAAATTTACCCTGAAAATTATGTTAATCATAGGACAATATAGTATTTTTTCTTTAATATGTACTACAACAAATTTACTGTAGTGCACAGTGAAAAAAAAAACAGAGAAAATCACATAGAATTTTCCGAAATACCGTTTTGTCCCACGATCAACACATGATTTTCTGGATAAATTTTAAAAGGAAATTCTCTCCGTGTAGTCAGGCATAGTAATGCCACATTATTTCCTGAAATTAATGTAACAGGAAACGTACGGCAGACGAAGAAAAAAAAAGAGCTCGCCTGTTGCTGAAGTGAACGAGTATACGAAATGCAGCTCAGTCAGTATAGGAGACGTTATGTATACCGAATGATACAATGGTAGCGAAGTCATTCTGCGCTCTGAACATTTGCGTGACAAACGTACGCGACAATGTTGTGTGTTCAAGTCGACAATACTGATCGCCACAATGAATCAACTCACCCTCCCCCCCCCTCCCCCCGACGGTGTTAGGTGAAATGTATAATAACATTTTCGCGCATGTATTTGCAAGTGTACCGGAATACATTTTATATATGCTTATATACAAATACATATTCAGAGCCACCGTTCGTCGGCTTTGAATATGCATTTTCGCCGATACATTTCGTCCGATACTTATCCAATTCTAAGTGTTTTGTTAATATAATTATTGAAAAAAAAAACAAATTGTACGTTTGCCACGTGGCATTTTCAAATTTTCAACATTTTCATCTACTTGTCAGTCTTTTCCGTATTTAATAAAATTTCCTCCCCTTCCTTCGAATCGCGAATCATGATCCTAATTTCTCTAATCGATAAGATTCAAACTGCTAGTACTGCGTTTTATTTACGAAATTTCGCTTTCAGTCTCAGCGCGTAAACGCGCCCTTTATGCATACGATACGGAGAGTAAATCGAGCCATTTACCTTCCTCGAACGCCTCCAGCGACGAATCGTCCTTCCGATGGGCGTCCACTTGCAACTTCCTCTCGTGCACCAGCGTGTGTAGTTATACCGGTGCAGTCGGTCCGTGATAAACAAAAACACAAACTCGCGGCTAGTCCTCGATCTCGTTCCCTCCGAGATGATGTGTCTCTCTCTCTCCCTCCCTCTCTCTCTCTGTCGCGCGCGCGCGCGCGCGCGACGGCGGTATCAATCGCCCACCGATTCTCCTTTTTCTCGCATTTGCTCGCGAGAAAATACGCGGCGCGAGCGAGCGAGCGAGAGCGACGAGCGGCGGCCGCGAAATGCGAGAGAGGAAGAGGCGGACCAAGTAGTAGGAGAATGGAAAAAGCGCGTGTGCCAGGGGCACGCGAGAGGAGAACGGAGACGGGGAATGATAGCGGAGAAAGAGGAGACGAGCGGAGACGGGAATGGGCAAGGAAAAAAGCAAGTGATACTACGCGAGGAGCGACGTGATAAGGAGCGAGCGAGAGAGAGAGTTTCCTGCGAGAAGAGTCGCGCGTCCGATATCGGACGCAATATAATATCGATCCGCTCCCGGTGTCAATCCCGCGACGATGTCCCCGCGGCGATGCGTTACCGTCTCGACGTCGAGATCACATCGTCACATTTCTGCTGCCGCGCGGTCCGCTCCCGCGGTCGTGTAGTGGCGCGAAAAACGGAGCGCTCCGAAAATGATCCTTGAAGGACGTGGTGCGCGAGCGCGAGCGCGCGTCGCAGAGGTTGCAGTTTCTGCAGGGAGAGTCGCGCCGAGGGAAAGAGATCGTCCTCCTCCTCCTCCTCCTCCTCCTCTTCTTCCTTCTCGTCCGCCGGTATGTTCCTGCTCAGGATCCGATCGAGCAGACACTGACCCCACGAGACGACGCCGGAGCGAAAAAGAGATACAGGGAGAGCGAGCGAAAGAAACGGGGAGAGGGAGAAGAAGTACGAAAGGAGGTACGAGTGGAGAGCGAGGGAGAAAACGGGATAGAAGTCGAGAGAGAGAGAGAGGAAACGATAAATAATACAGGAGGAAAGACGGAGGAAAGGACGAGCGGAGGAAGCGCGAGAGATCGGTGGTGGAGATCGCCGAGAGTACGCGGTTTGCACCGGAGTCTTCTCACTTTCGTCGCGACATTTTTCCCCACGGCGGCTTTCGAACACGCGCGGCTTTTAAAAACTGCGAGTCACGGAGATCAGCGAAGAAGAGAGGAAGATGGAGAGAGGAGCTTTTCCGCTTGTCCGGTGCGCGCACACTTGGTTTTTCAAATTTTCCCCGTATGCCCGGACACGCGCGAAAGTGATGCGCGACGCGGCACCGTTTGCAGATTGTATCGTTGAGGAAGAGAGAAAGAGAGAGAGAGAGAGAGAGAGAGAGAGAAAGAGAGAGACAGAAAAAAAACGTGTGTCGATCGGTGTCGTCTCTCGGCAAAGCGGCGCGGCGGCGGCGACGATGCGCGATGGCGGCGCGCTCGCGGAAAATAAACGTGACAACTCGTATCGCGCGCGCCTGCTTAACATATACTGAATACGTTTCGGCCAGAGCGCTCCGCTATACTGGAGCTCCGCGCTCGGCCGCCTTCGGCTGTCCTCGACGACCTTCGGCCGCGCAGACGACCGCGGCCGGCGCGGCCAAAACGACGCGCGCGACGCGTCGCCCGGCCGACGTGGTCCGCGCTGTCACTCGATCGCTGGCCGTGCATCGTGCGGGTCGACATACCACGCTCTTTTTCGGCCCTCGCTCGCTCCGATTTGCCACGCTGACTGCCAAGACATCACGCTACGCTCTTTAACATGCATTCAGGGAGAGTTCGTATTTGAACAACGGTAATTTATACATGTGTAAATTATATACATAATCTACAAATATGTAATCTTTATAGATCATGTTTTATACATTATATAATAATCTTTGTAGATTATAAAATATGTAATATATTATAATTCACACATATAATATTGAATTTTTTTTTATAGATAAGCAATTATATTGCTATTCGTATGTTTTTCTTTGATTTTGAAAGCAAAGTTATTTTCAAGTTTAATTAATAATTTTAAGAGATTTAAGAAATTGCCCTTTTTACGCATTCTAGAATTTAATGCATGTGTTTAATTAGTAAATACATACTATTATATATGATTAATAAAAACTCTATCAATATACTTAAGAAATTAATTTTCCCGGAGTCTTACACGAGGATAAGATTTGTTACACGATCCAAAGACTATTTATAATAATTCGTAATTATTTTATAGTAATAAACTTATGTCAATTAATCAAAAAATTTGATATTTTCATGTACTTCGAAATTGTGTAAGATTTAAATGTTTTTTTTTTAACCGTTTTGAATTCGTTTATGTTAGCTACATCCTCTTTCAAATAATGTATAATTTATATGGAATTAATTCTCGTTTATTTTTTTGAAAAATCAGAGCACGTAACTGCAGTAAAAAAATATTTATATGAAATACAATAAATCATTGTAACAATATACATCATTACACACGTTATATCGTTACACAAGTCGGATATACGTGATACATTAACCGTGCATTATTAATCGTCGTTACCGGACGTAAAGCGCGACAGTTTAAATCAGTTTCCACCTCATTTGAAAGTACATTAAAACAACAGAACCGTGTCCTGCAGCATCATTAGTTTGACAATCGTTCAGTACTTGGAGAAACTGTGTAAACTCGCTTAGAGCGTGGACTCGTTAAAGTTTGAAACACTGAATTGTTTTACAAATACAGAGAATCGTAAATCACTTCGGCATATAACACGATTTTGAGATCTTATTCCGGAATGGTATTGATTCCTCATTCTAAATTAATTTAATATTAAACATGAGATTTTCCTCAAGATTTTATAATTTAAATATATGAATTTATAATTTTATTATTCAAGAGATAATCTCTGGTCATCACACAGTCGATATAGTGTGCTAGCCGCGTGTATCTTGCATATATTTAAAATACAGTCAAATTTTTTATCCTTGTAATTTTCTTACGTCTCCACAGCACGATTTTAATGACGTTAGCGAGCGTCAATGATATATTCCCTTAACACTATATACCTAAAGGCAACTTCGCAACATCGAGGCATTGTCGAGCATACGCGTTCGCGTGTATACATTATGCAAATTGATTCCATCGATTGGCCACCAGACTTCACCGCGCGAAATATAGACTTGTTGCACGTTCCAGAAGCTCTATTCCAATCTCTAGAACATGTTCGTCCTGTAACTTGTATTTATTACGTAATTTCAAGAAAATAACGGTCATATTAGGAAAAAAATAAACGTGATAACGAGTCTTCCAGCAGCGTCCAACTATTAAATTACGATACTTTGCAAGCGTTTCTAGACTATGTCTAATTTACATCTTAATTCAAACTGCGAAAACAAAAGGATATCGATTCGAACGTAAAATTTAAGAGCTTAATTAAAGTCCCAATTTTACATAAGTTAAATATTAACATTATGGCAGATTATGAAGTACAAGACGATTTCTTTTTCCATTATGATTCCATACTTAAGATTGTAGAAAATTATACAGTTATTGCGAGAGAAGAATGAGGCCAAAATATATCTTCTCTATACGAAAAACTGCCAAGTCGTTAAAATCCCCTTGCGTTATCCCCTTATTTATATTATAGTGTGTATAAATTTCTTATTTCCCTATATATAATGCTCGTCATAAATGCGAACGTGACGCTATTTCAATTCGATTGATTCATCCATCCGGCCCGTCGTTTTGATGGCGTTTCTCCGATCGTTTCGATTCCGCTATCGATTACTAGTGGCGCGCAATTCGCCGCGGTAAAACGAGCGACATTTTCCCCGAGTTTACAGACGATTAAGAATTGTCGTAATTATTTTAAGAGGCTTCTTCGTGGGAGCGGTGCTGTTACCGATTACTATGTGTCGCCAACGACGGCGCCGCTTTTCTCGCCACTAATGCGAGAGTCATTATGTGCCGGTATGTAAGCACTTTTCACGAGATTATCTAATGCACTTTTATTTGACTGAAAAATTTGCACGTAAACGAGAACGAACGATTCGCCTTAATAAAAAAAATCATTTGTTAAAAGCTACGAACTATAAAATGAGATAGCACTAATCATATTATTTTATTGTTGTGTCTTTCCATTTCTCATTTGCATTTGACGGAGTGCAAAATAGTTTAGAATAAGATGAAAATTAATAATTAATTTAAATTACTCGATCTAGTTTAGAATCAATTTTTTTTCTTAAATCGGGAACTTTATCAGAGATATTACATTTATTGTGACATTTTAATTTCCATCATTGAATACCTCGGTGCTTTTATCTTCGATTAATTTGTTTTAAATATAATGAGTAAAAAACAGGTATGGAACAAAGTTCATATGTTGATTGCAACTCCTTTATCGAGTGAGATTTAAATATCAAAGAGATGGCGCATGCTGACGTAACAAGAAAAAGAATGAAGTCGATGACGCAGATCTCTTTATTGTCTTCGATATTTTCAAACCGAAACTAAAAAAAAAAAATTCATATATTTCGTAATAAAATTAAGTCCTCCTAAATATGTCGTGCGAGCATGGGAATATTTTTCCGTGAAAAGTCAGGGGGAAATAAAACCAACGAGAAAGATGAACAAGAAGACTAACGTGTTCGAATGCAAAAAGCACAGCGAAGACTAGCTATTACGATTCTCGGTAAATGATGGGTAGAACGACATCATCGATCCTTATCGCGAGCTCGACTTTGCTAAAGAGAGCAGCAAGCCGAGTCAAGTTTTACCTTGCTGCCGGTTTACCCAAGAATCCTACGGGATGATAATGAGAGCCTCACTATCTCACGTCAAGCCAACCATAATTAGCTCGTTCGTAATACATGGTTGTCGTCGGCGCGATTAGTACCGTCTTCTTTCGCGAGTTTGTCTCGTCCTATCGTAAATTGCCGGAATTGGGTAACTGAACACGAGTTCTCTAATTGCGAGCAAGTTTCTAGCAATTCTACATAACTTTGCGTTAAAGTAATTATATTTTTTCTCAATATTATATGTGGTTCAATTCATTCTGTCGATTATTAACAGAATTTTTTTTCGCAAATTTGAATATGTTAGTATAAGCAGATTTCTAAGAGATGATAACTTTGTATCAGGATTAATGCAAGTTGTAATGCCATATATATGACTTATAATATGACAAATCTTTTTAAATTTTATTAATTTATAAAAAATACTACCTTCTTTCAAATTAATTATGAATCGACAAATACAGCTTAATTAATAATCGTAATAATTAGATACCGCAGTATTTTAATGGGGTAGAATTTAATTATTATAATGAATAATGGTAGAACACGCTAAAATAATAATTAATGAAATCTTGCGTCAGCGCCTACAGCAATATATGAATAAATCAATACAATGTATTTCCATTGGAGCAAAGTCCATATTGAAATGATATTTTAACTCCATTAGGATTATCTCCATTAGAGATATTCGTATTTATATATTTTTGGAAGAAATGTAAAGAGGAAAGTGAAAGTAGAATATATAAAATTTATTTTAATACTGCAATGATCTTTTTGTCTGTATGTCATCCAATATCGTTCTGAGTTCTTCATCTTCGAGACGTCCTTCGAGACTTGGAATGAGAGCTTTTGCTTCTTCTGGAGTTTCGGGACACAGGTTGGCTAGCGAGGCAATTTCAAATTTGTGTAGCTTCTTTTGCATCAACAAACTGTAACAACATAAAAAATATTACATTTCGCATCCTATTTAATTTATATACACATATATTTCGTGACGTTATAACATATTACATTTTACATAATACTCTATTTAAAAATGATTTATCTGTAATAAGTAAAATAATCTACCTTCTAACGGCTGCTATTGTCTCTTTATTTTTCAATTTTCCGAATCGGTTGGTATACGTTAAGCTCTTCATGAAAACTTCGGAAAATTCTTGTTCCTCTTCCGCTGATTCGTTTTGAGCTTTTCTGTGCTCAAGAAGCATATAGACTTCCGAGATCAACAATGTCTCTGCATTTTCAAATTCTGCGAAGGAATTTGTTACCTTCGTTATTTAAATAATAACGGAAATCTTAATCGAAATAGTAGGAAAGAGGTCTCTTTTGCAATTTAGTTCACAAATTTCTCTAAATGTTAATAAACTTTACTTATTAAAAAGATGTCAATAAATTATAATTACATAATTATTAATTATTATTTATATAATAATTTTTTTTAAGAAATGCAGAATTTTAATTAATATATCTTAATTCATATTATCACACAATGTTCCCTACTCGCGCGTCATATTTACGCACCGTGTCGATTACATTCAAATAGTCATTGAGGTGGCTTATTTATGTATCCCTTTTCCACCAAGAAATCATATATCTTTCGTGTTTTGTTCACATCAATTTTTAGGAGGATACGAGCCTGGGCTAATCTAAGATAACCATTCTTTTTGCTTTCCGTTATTAAGAGTTGCTTAAAATCTAAATAATTGGCGGGCACGATTCTCACAACGGAGCAAAGCTCTTTCTCGTCGGCGTTGAGTTTCTCGTATCCCAGTAAACCCTTTATGGCGAGAGGGGGCGCGGTTTTACGTTGCGTGCCTCCGAGAATCGGACTGTTACAGCTACTAGCAACGGTGTCGGGCAAAACATTTCTCCAGCTGTATTCCGGATTGTTCAGATACTGCTTTTTTTCCCGCTCGTTCTCCTGCCTCAGGTTACTTAGCTTTTGGAACATGGGTACGCTGTAGAAGTGCTTGAGCCCATTTCGCCTGAATTCCAGTAACCTGTTGATACGGTTCCTCAGCTCGCCGACGCGGTGGATACCTTCCATGAGGAGGTCAAATTCCATCCCATTCACAAGCTGCATGAATATCAGCAGTCTCTCAGCGAGCGGTCGCGTTATCGTATTCTCGTATCTCTGTATCGACGATATGACTTTGCGAAATGCGATTAGTCCGTGCTTGCGTATAATTCTGTGTCTTCTCGCGCGCTCCTTCAATCTGTTGTTGTACGCCTGCACTATTGCCGCTTGCAGAGCCTGCCCTAACTCGTGCTCATCGTCGCCCGGTTGAAACTCGTCGAATTCGAGATCGGATATCAGTGACTCCGCGTGATTATCGAAATTGACCTCAAAATCGGACCTAGCCGCGTTATAACCTGACAATAATCTGCCGTTTACCGTGTTCGTGGCGAATCTGGGCGGTTCCTCCAGGTCTTGCAACTTGTATGTGTAAGGTATCGGTTCGCAACCGAATAAGCTGGCTCTACTCTCCTTGATCTTCGGCAGACCGGGCAGCGTCTGATTGTCTATGTAGTGCTGCAAATAATGCGTCTTGCACTCTTCGGCAGACTTTCCGTGCATCCTACGCCTCACGTCTACCCAATTTCCGAAGCCGCATTGCTGCAGGACATCCAGCAACTCGAGCTCGTGCTTAGCAGTCCAACCGCTGCCGTCCATCAGAGGGAATTCGTTCTTTATAATCACGTAGTCGTGATCGTTCTTGTGCTCGTCGATCTCGCAGCCCTTGGCAAAGCAAGGTGGACATATCTCGACGTCGGTGCATATGGCGCAACGGATATAGGGTTCCGCGAGGATAGACCTGCACACGCGGCACATCGGATCTGAGGCAAGAATTTTGTCCTTCAAGACTGACACCTCGAGGTCTACGTCATGCTCAGATTTATCTGTCGGACTCAATAAACAGTCTGAAAGAGGAAAATCGTTACCTTAGCCTTGATACCGCTCGGATGTGCAGGCATTTTGAAATAACGTTAATACAAATATATTCTGCGGAATTGCATGAAACTGCGTATATTTAAGCTTCACAGCAAGAGTTAAGATTTAACAATGTGTTAATAGTAACACTACTATTATACAGCAGCAAGTTGCATTTGCATTTGCTCCATTTCTCTTTTTAATAGATAAATATCAGCAGAGTTAAAATGTAAGACAGTTGATTAGATTTCCTTTTTTTTTACAAGACCGTAACCCAGAGCTCGTGCAATTTCGAAGCAACTTACTTCTATTCTCACGTTGTCAACAAGTATCACAAAAGTGAGGTTAGGTACAATGTTCCTGCTAATTCATGAGTAACAGTTGGAAAATAAGTGTACCTTTCGGAAATTGCAGATCCGCCGCATCCTCCTCTGTCATATCCGTAAGGTTAGGGTTAGCCATGTTGACTAATTCTTACTAAATATGTCCCGTATTTACCACCGATAAAAAAGACGCTATGGTGCGTTCAACACAATCATGCTTCGTTCGGTCTGTCCTCCAAGGGCTCCAAGTCCAACTCCTCCAACCACGCATGCCCGACGTGCGTAGTCACGTGACACTGAATCACACACTACGCGGAGCAGCAGGAGTGCTTAGTGGCGCGATCAGGTGACAAAGTAACGAACGTATGTAGAAAATTTTAAACCAGCCGGTATAGAAGACTTTTATTATTTTCATATCTTTTGTTGAGAGAAAATATATATGTTAATTTTTCTCATATTCCAATTTCTTTATATCTTTAGATTTAAATGAAAAAAATTCCGCGCGTGTAATTTATTAAATTTGTTTTTTTGTATATATTTATTGCTTCGTTATTTTTTAAATCGTGCATTGCAACACGAACTTAGAGAGACAAAATTTTATTAAAAAATGAAATTTGCAAGAACATTCGCGTAATTTTTCAATAAGCTAAATATTTGCAATACAGTTAGCAGCATGATGCAAAATTTGATTAATTATATATTGTCACAGAATGACACCGACATGCATTCGAATTGCTTATATCGTTTTATCATTCTGTCGACAGAATGATAAAACGAACGACACCAGAAATTGAGCAGGTCTATTATTTTATAATTATTTAAACAGCATTATTTATCCTAATAACTCTGTAACATGTAAAATACGTCGGCATTGTATACGAGTACAAGGTGCGTCCTGAACAATAAACCAGGCGTCGCTTGAAAATGCGGGATAATTAAGGTCAAACGTAGAGCGATAACATCGGAATACCTAATCGAGAGAATCCGCGTTGAAATCATTAGTATGCACATTTGTCACCTTTCAATGAGAAACAGCGAACGTGAGACCATGAAAGAATGAACGTTTGCACACGGTTGTCAGCGAGGAGAAATCATTATCAGGATGCATGTTATTATGTATATCGCGACGATAATTTCTAACTTTCCCTTAAACACAAGTATGATACGTTTGAAAAAAGTATAAAAGTATTACTAAACCGACATCGTCGCGAAAAAGGTGAGAAGGAAATTATAATAAAAATCGCGAACGAGTTTAATTGCTTATAATATTATCGTCGAACGAATAAATAATACGCACGAACGAACAAATAATTATTTCATCCATTATGAATGAATGAAAATTCCTACATTATTATCATGTTTTCTCTATATGACTCATTATCAAAAGTGAAACTTTATGATGTAGGAAAATTCTTAACTGGCGGTGTATAAATTTTGTACTTGTTGCGGATATTTGCGTAAAATACTTGTTGTTTTTAAATAATTTTTGCGTGATACTCGGCACGAATAGCGAGATGGATTTTTAATTAGAAAATTATAACACTTTGTACAGATGTTCGAATATTTCAATTAATGTCTGTTATATAAAATTTTATTTTTATTTGTTACATTCCCTTAAACCCTTTCGCTGCAGCAAGATATTCGATTCAAGTACTTCGCGAGTATACGTAACAATACACACATATATTAGCTGACGTTTTGTGAAAGTAGAGGATAAAACATGTTTTAAACACGCTAAGTGGCTGCACTTTCTATGCTGCAGATGTGTCTCGCAAATAATAAGAACGGCGATTAATCTTGCGACTTCGTGAAAGATGAAATATCTTTTTGCAATATTATTCAACTGAGTACAATAATAATTCACTCTTTTTGAAAGCGTGCGAAAATTGATTATACAATTGAGAAACTGAATCTAGATTAATTTTTTACGGAGTTTACAAAAGAAATTAATTGTATCGCTCCTGCAACGCAGCAATTTTCGTCCGGGATATCCTATACGTTAAAACGTGGGGAATACTGTTTATCTTTTGCTTTCTATATGCCTCACATGCGCCCTACGATACGAATGTATCTCTCGAACCGCGCCATATATCCTTCACGCGACGCGTATCCTGGAGACAATAGAAACTCGAGCTATACACGAGGGAAGTTTGTTTTGTGTTAGTTCTCTCGCGCGAGCGTGCATTAATACGCGAAAAGCTCGTCGCTCGGTCGCGGTTGCGGGAAGTGTCGACGGGAGTGTTGCGCGCGAGAAGTCGATTTCCGTGTTTTCGACGGGATACGCGGTCTGCTTAAAAATGGAGATAACGCACGACATGGAGCCGGACTTCTCGAATACGAGGACGATACATTTCCGGGAGTTGATAGACAGGAAGGACGAAGATGTCAACTCGATACGTATCTTCGATACTGTTTACGGAGTAACCACCGTTAAAGGGTAAGATATCATTTGGCTCATAAAAAATTAAGCTTTAAGAGAATACTGCTGGAAAATTATTTAGCAAAGTTCGGGAAATTTTTTTTTTTAGAAACAATCATTAACCCTTTATTGGTCGCAATATACATATAATATTTGTATATTTATCAGATAAAAAATAAAAAAGTGTGAAACGAGATCCATTTTTTAAATATTTAGGTAATAATAAACTATATTTATATGTATTTCCTTTTAATTTGCTTTAACGGAAAATTACAAATAATTAAGAAAAGTGAATTAAACGTTGCATTTTTGCGATAATTTTATATTATTTTCTTGATTTATCAAAATTATATGTAATTTAATTCTTCTCGGAATGTAAAATTTTTTCAAGAAGTAATAATAATAAATTAATTATACATTATTTTCTTTTATAATGAAGTGAAATTTATTCTTCAAATAAATGTCAAATATAATGTGCGATATAATAGAATTCATTGAAATTACTTTGAAATGCAATTAATAAAATTTTCGGCTTACGTTTATTTTATAATAAGTCAAATATTTTGTGCGACGACGAAAGGTTAAAAAATTTAAAGTATTATAAAATACAATATAACTGTCTTATTCGATGTGGCGGTATAATTTGTTATGTGCATACACGCGGTTGCCTCAAAGTTATCGCGCAACGAGACTCAGATACAACATGTTGACAATTCGATTTACGCAGAAAAACGCAAGCCATTAGAGGATTGATGACAAGAAAGCAGTTTTCGCGGTAATATATTATCGATTGATAATAAATCATCTTTCAAACTATAATTAACTTTATAAGAAACGTCTCGATATTCTCTGTTAAATTTCTAGAGAATCGACGTAAGGAATAAATGCAAATTAAGGCTATTATTCTCCATTATGTTTAGTAAGTACGCATCTGTGTGCTTTATAAAACGTGTTTTATGAAAGGTGTTGGTAAAATTTACATCTTACATGATTGATACTTAAAGCGTCGGCGAATAATTAATGTTACGTCATCGCAAATTACATCCATAAACGTATAGCCGGCGCGCTGTTTCATCGACGAGGAAAAAAATTTCAACGCAATTTTAACAAAGTCTTGTTTTCGAATGTCGATATTAATTATTCAATTTGACTCGATTATGCAGGGTGGTCTATTCTTAGTGGTACAATTGAAAGGTAATACGCCATACGGAAAAAAAATACGTCAAACATACAGAATAAATTGATGCACATACTTTTTAGAAACTCATACTTTTTTACATTATATGTATCTCTCGAATCCCCCTTTCGGTTATATCAGTAATAACAAACCGTTCTAGATAAGATAAATAGCTGAAAAGCTTTTTGAAAACATCAACGACTCTCATTAACCGGATCCCGAGATCTCGATTTATTAATAACTGCAGTAAATTAAGGTGCAGATAACTGAGTTATTTTAATAGAATTATATCTACGTAATTAATCACCCGTGACGTTTTACTATTTCGTCGAAGCGTCAGAATTAATCATACCGGATCAGCTAATAGATACTTATTGTCAAGGGTGGACCTTTAAACTTATATGACTCCGTAAAATACGCAACTGCTACAACGCAACGTTAGTTGTATTATCGATTGTAAACTGTCAAACGCATCCTAAAATCAGTCACAACGTGACGTCTGGAGCCTAGAGATTTCGTAAAAGAATCCAATTGGCCCGACTAATACGGAGTTTGAAGGATCCCACCACGCGTGTTTCGTCTCGTTCCGCTCGAACATAAAGAAATGGCATCTCTCTCGCTCTTTCAATAGAGTTATTCAACCTTTTACGGTTCGGTTACGACTACAATTTATCTCATTAACATTGCCGCGAGCGATTTCACATAACGGTGCACGTACTAGCGTCGGTCGGTCGGTCGGTCGGTCGGTCGGTCGGTCGGTCGGTGCAGAAAGACTTCATCATGCAAGTAATTTATAGCCGAAGCTGCTATCGCTGATTAGAATTGCGTTTATCTTTTGACACTCTACCGTTAATTCAAAATTTATTGATATTTTATATTTTAATCTGGAAACATGCAATTATGCAAACTGTGTGTGTGTGTGTGTGTGTGTGTGTGTGTGTGTGTGTTTCTCGTATTAATAATTGAGAAGAGCAAGAGAGAATAATTTAAAAAAAAAATCGAAAGTAAACTTGGAATAATTCTTTCATTATAAACACTAAAAAATTTTTAAACATTCATCAAATATGCGCACGTGCAGGGTGCATAATATCCATGCACTGGATTAGGAAATTTACAATTTTATATGTATAATTTATAATATTGGCCATGTGCTGCGAATAGAGAGCGTTATTATATCTTCATTATACTTAATTTATATGCCAAAAAAATCTTACACGTGTCGATTTGTAATTTAAGCGAAAGATAATTCTATTATAATAGCGCAGAATTCTAAGAAGTTCTTCCCAAAGAACCACTCAATCACGAGACTTTCAAACTACCTTCATCTAAATTCAGGCATAGCCAGGTACCACTTAAGATCGATGGATCGATCGACTCTGCCTCACAAGCATGATCTTCTCTTCTTGGTTTGCGATCGCATCTTCGTTTCGATCATAATATTATGCTTGTCTATCAACGATCACGGAGCTTATATAAAAACTCTTTCAAAACTCCTCGAACGTCTACGCCTGTTGCAAAATCCCCGCGTCCTCATCATTCATTTTAAATGCGACAAGTTAAATAAAGTAAAATTAACGAAATAAAATGTAAGGCCCTGTAAAATTAGATTTAATGAAACATAACTGAGCCGACGTAAAATTTCTATTTCACTAAAATGTTATTGCCCTTTACAAAAAGTAACTTTTGTAATTTTGACGAGATACCACGTTAAAGTGGATCTTAAGTCCTTATGAAAATAACGCCGATGAATATTCATAAAGTGACTTTAGTTGAATCCTACCGGTATTCACGCACGCTACGATTATAT